TTTTTGACAAAACGAAAAAACGAAAAAACGGCTTGTTTCTGGGTTCTGCTTGTGTCAATTATTCCCAGAAAACAGACTGATAAAACGTACCTTGTCCTCCGATGTGCTATGTGTTATAATTTCCCTAATGATCAAGGGGAGTGTCAAATAAAAAAATCTAATAAAATTTGAATAATTAGATTTTTGATTGAATAATGCTGGTGAAACATAAGGTTTATCTTCTCCCCACGCCAATAATTTTCATACAGTCCCTAAGAATAAAGTGACTGCTGCTCATTTCACCAAAACTGACTTGTGAACGATCTGAATCGTTGCAACCTTTGAGACTCTGAGTCAGAGTGTGACTTGAACTGGAAACAACTCCCTTGCCTTCTCCACATTTGGCGGTAAATTACCTCTAAGAGTTTTTAATTAACTTGTCTCAAACTTGTGAAAAGAAACTTTTATCTAGACATTAGCATTTAAGCTTGATTAATATCTCCAGACATCTTGTGTAATTCCCCGCCCCTGAATGAAGGAGAAAATACTGCCATGCTCCAATTACATTGAGATGTAATTATCCTATCAGTGATTAACATGCCTATTTACCCCATTAGCACTCGGTCGACATGAAGGGCGCGCAGTTGTTTGCAGATTCTTATCACTCTTTTGCTTTGGATTCAGCAGGCCTGGTGTGCTTTCTTTGTGAAAATCTCTGTTTTTGAAGAGCATATTTTAAAAAGGCATTTCTACATCATACAAAGATAAGAGGGGAAAGCTGTATGAAATGAAATACTATGACCTGGATTTAAACACACCAGCATTGATATATTTCTTATCCTTCAGCATTCTAGATCTCCACGACTACTAATATGTTTTAATGAAAATCTGTGTGCTTTTGAAAAGATGCAAACCAGTAGTACTTCCTACTCATTATTCCCACTTATTTGCATGAACATCCAGCGCACTCCAAAAGCCTGAGGATCAATATAAATCAAATGATAATGTTGAATTAAAAAAAAAACACATCTTAACACGGGGGGAGACCCTAAGCTGGGAGAAATGCAAAATGTTATATTTAGAATAATCCTGACTCAAAGCCACTTCCATTATCCATCTGCTGTTACACTGAGGGGAGTGGACAACAAAGGGACAAATAGCATAAAACAACAAAGTGAAGGTAGAAGAGAAGGGGATTAAAGGAGGAGAGGATATGTCAAGTGTTTTCTCACAATATGTCAAATCCTAATCAAATAACAATGGCTGGTGAGAGGTAAGCCCATTCTTTATACAGTAGATGGGGAGACATGAGTTTTTAAAGACTTATGAGGTGTGACATTTCAGCCGTGGCTGGGTTCACTTTAAACGCTCAGGGTCAAAAGAAGCGACAGAGCAGTTCAAAACACCAAGCAGGCCAGGCCAAATAGACCCATGTATGTACGAAATTGGTCTTCAGTAAAAACTTTAGGGTTCGGTCACACTGGAAACTGGGACAGCAATGACGTAGCAAAATAATTCAATTTTTAAATCAGTTGAATTTTATTTGTATAGCACCAAATCATAACCGAAGTTATCTCAGGACACTTTTTATATTGAGAAGGTCTAGGCCGTACTCCTTATAGACTTTTTGCCAGAGACCCAACAGTTTCCACCATGAGTGAGCACTTGGCGACAGTGGCTCATGGAGGAGGAAAAACTTCCTTGAGAGTAGAGGTGGACTGCTGTTGAGCTAACCACTAACACACACTATAGGCTAAATCAATAGTTTCCAAACTGGGATCCAGGGATCAACAGGGGTTTCATTCAAGTTGAAAAGAAGAATAAAGCTAGTTTTTACAAAACAACAACAAAGCAAGGCAAGTCTGACATTTGGAGTATTTTTTTTTTTTACCTGGAGAAGACATAAAATCTCTATTGTGCAGGTGGTCAGAAGGTTCGTAGGAGCAGGCGATAATGGTCAGAAATCCACCGGGAGCCTGGTTAAGAAAACAGTCCCGCACAGGACTCTAGATTGTAATTTATAGTGATCCTAGTTTGATTATTCAATTTCAGTTACATTTTATTTGTATAGCGCTAATCCATAACAAAAGTTATCTCAGGA